GCAGCTGTTAGAGCCGTTAGGAGGCCATTGAAATAGTTCCCACTTAAAATTTTAAAAAGAACCTGGGAGTGGTGGCACAGTCCTGTGATCTCATCTCTCAGGAGGCTGAGGCAGGAGGATCGCTGCAAGGGTGAGGCAAGCCTGGGCTACATAGTGAGAACCTTTCTCAAAAAAACAGTAAATAAATAATTTTAAAAGGGAAAGATGAAGGCAGAGTCAGACCCCAGAGCACTTCCATGTCAGAATCCACAGGCTGCATGTAGCCCCCCGTTCCCAGTCACCTGTGCCTACGCCCCTCTCCGACTCGGTGTGGCCCAGCCCCGTGGCCACACTGCCGTGGGGTGGGGCCAATGCCCTCTCAGCCAGGAGCGAAGGCCCCTCAGCTGCAAGGCTGTGCTGCTGTGGCCAGCACTGCACCTCCTGAAGGCACCTGGCTCGTTCACCGTGCGTCATCACCTTCAGCCCGGAAGATACGCACCGTGAACTCTGCACGGAGAATGACAATCAGACCGGCGGCGGGCCTCAGTGACAGAGACCCACCGCATCGGCCGCGGCTCCTCCCTCCTCCGGCACACCGGACAGCGGGGCTCTGGGCGGAGACCCACGCTGCTGTGTCCTTCCTCCAGAAGGGGATAAACGTGGCCTCCGCCCCAGGGTCACCTCGTGGGATCGCATTTATGGGAAACGCCCAGGGCGGGCGGGCAGGTGGCCCAAGAGGCAGGAAGTGGGCTCGAGGTCTCAGAGGAGGAGGGAGGGGAGGAGTGGCTGCTGATGGCTGTGGGCTTCCTAGAGTGAGGAGAGCGCACTGCAGTGGAGGATGCTAAATGCGGGGGGAATCTGATAGCACCTCAGCTGCAGCGTCTCAGAGGCCTGTGTCACTGTGTCCTCGGGATGCACAGAGCTACAGGACACACACGGGGTGACTGAGAACCATGGGAATGTGTGGAAACGGGTTACAGGAGAGACACTGCCACGAATCCCCTCGGAATCCTCCCCCCACACCACACACTCCTCCCACCGTCCCGGCCACTTCACGGGGCCCTTCTGGCGCCCCCATCCCTGAGTGTCTAGCTACACTGTCCTGGCTGCCTCTATTTTGCCCTTGGGGGAGAGCAGGAAGTCACAGGGTCTCAGACCTGGAGACGGCAGTGGGTGAGGGCGCTGGGAGGCAGCAGTCACCGTGTTTTTCACACCTCATAAAGACCCTCAGGAGCGAGGACACAGAGCTGCTGCCGGAAGCGGAAGGGACAGCGGCAGGGGCAGATCTCCAGGGTCCATGGCCATGGTGACTTTAATTACTGTAGTAATTTTCTGATCTGAACCCTCACTGTGCACCTGGGTCACCCACGTAACCCAGGAGGGTTTGATCTGAGCTTGGGCAGTGCTTGTGCCAAGACCTGAGACCGCTTCTGAGCCAGAACAGGTAGAATCTGTCTCCTTCAGGACAGCATGACGCAGGGCAAGGTGCGGCAGGGAGGCTGGACACAGCCGCCGCTCCTGAGTCTGTTGGGGCCTGACCCGCGGTGTCCTGCCCAAGCCCCTCTCCCCGCAGTACCCTCCCAGGCCCCCATCTCTGCTCTGCCACCCGCCTGGTCACCAGCCCAGCCCACAGGCACAGTGGGAATGCAGGTCTGGTCGGTGTCCCTGAGGCCGTGCCACCCGCTGCCCGCAGCTGCCCTGCACAGACCCCTGCGGCCTCCTTTCCACCTGGCCTAGCCACCTAGCCCTTCACACAGGCCTCTTGCATCCCTTCCCTTAGGTGCCTGACCCGGAGGCCTGGCACCTGCGCCCCCCACCCCCCCCACCCTGGGGCCCAACGGGAACTCTGCCCCCCAGGGAGTTCATGCCCTGGCACTTCCAGGAGGAGGGGCACGGCCAGTGTCCTCCCCCACCGCCCCGGTGCCTTCTGTGACACCCAGCGCAGCTGTGCAAGGCCCATGTAACACCTGCCTCCAACCGGGCTTTTTATCCTTTCTCTTAAAACAGCGCATGTCACAAGTCTCTCAGGTCAGCCGCATGCACACTTCTGAGGGTCTCCAGAACTGCACGCTAAGTCCTTGGTGTGGGGACACCGTGCACAGCTTTGGACACAGTGTTTTTCTTTTTTTTGTACCTATGATCGAACTCAGGACCTTGAGCTTTCGAGGCAGGCAGTGGAACCACTGAGCTAAATCCCTGGCCCTTTCCTTCTTCATGAGACAAGGCCTCGCTATGTAGCCCAGGTTGGCCTTGAACTCACAGCGATCCTCCTGCTTCAGCCTCCCAAGTGCTGGGATGACAGGGGTGTGCCACCTCGCCTGGAGAGGGTCGACACACACACACACACACACACACACACACACACTCACGGGGGTGGAATGGGGGAGGGAAGGAGGGAGAGAGAGAGAGAGAGAGACTTTTATATTTCAGTCCCTCTGGGTTCTGGGTCCCTGCAGCAGGTCAGGGCTGCCAGCTCTGCCCCAGCTAACAGGCGGGTGGGATGCTGTTCCCTGCAGGCTTCGGCTGGAGGCCTCGCACCGCCTCTCTGCAGCGCAGCTCGGAGCTGCTTCACCAGCAGGAGGCTGAAGAGAGCGGCTGTCCGCTCCTCTCCCCACTGCCACGAAGGTCGCGGGTGCTGTCCAGGCCTCTCCACGAGGCTCGCTGGGCAGGGGCCTGTCCCTCACCACGGGGTTTCCCACGGTGTTCTGCACACGGCAGGTGACAGTGGCCCTGGGTCCGCGCTGGAACCCTGCAGTGCTACTAGCTTCACGCTGGCCTCAGGGAGCTGCGTGCCCCAGAGCCGCAGTTCTTCCTTTGTGAAGCGGGGAGACTCGCCTGCCTCGGTGGTCTTGAAATGAACTGAATCCTGCCAAGGTGGTGCACATCAGTCACCCCTGCACTCTGGGAGGCTGAGGCAGGAGCATCGCAAGTTTAAGCCCAGCCCGGGCAATTTCGTGACCCCCTGTCTCAAAATAAAAACAGAAAAGCTGGGGATGGAGCTCAGTGCAAAGGCCATGGGTTCTATCCTCAGTACGGGGTAGGGGGTCAACTAAAAAAGCATATTTGAAGCACTTAGTGCACAAGAGCAACTCAGAACGTGCGAGCCATTCCTACACACACCCTCTCCCCACGCCTCCTCGCTATCCCGAGAGCAGGGACGATGCCCACGCAGGGCTCGGCACCGGGAGGCAACGCGTCCACTCGGGAGGCCCGGATCACCGCCGCGCAGACCGGGCGGACAGCGCCACCTGCTGGCTGAGGCTGAAGCTCGGCGCCTACAACAGCGCCCTGACCCGCTGTCCAAGCGGGTGACATCTGTATCCACACCCTCCAGTCACGGTAAAAAGGGCTGATTTCTGTTTGGTTTTGTGGTTCTTAGGATTTGAACTGAACTACATCCCTGAGTCTTTAAAAAATGTTTTTTCAGGGCCGGGGATTTAGCTCAGTAGTGCCACCGCCTGCCTCGCAAGCGCAAGGACCCGAGTTCCATCTCCGGGACACCCTTCCACGCCCAAAAAGCTCAGAGGTCTCACTAAGTTGTCCCGGCGGGGCTCCATCCTCCTGCCTCGGCCCCCGAGGGCTGCGGAGACAGGCATACACTACCACACCCAGGTGAGCTGTCACCTACTGAGCAACAGGTGGAGGCACTTTTCCAGGTGCTCTAGTGAACTTTCACAGCCACCTGACGAGGCAGGACCCTGACAGCGATCTCACAGATGGGGAAACTGAGGCACGGGGCAGTCGGGCGCCTCACTCAAGATCACACAGCAGAGAAATCTCGCACGAGACGCAAGCCCAATCGCCTGGCTTGGACCTGCACTTGTGAACCCCGAACTCAGCGTCTCTGTCGGTCCCCGGCGCCTCTGCTCCGAAGGCCCCGACAGCAGCGCCCGTGGTCTCCAGGTCCCACTGGGGCGACCCCCACACGGAGCTGCAGGCAGGAGGCCCCGCCCAGCACCGCTCCCTCCTGTGACCCTTCACTCACCCCCATGGCGCGGCCCCTGGTATGGGCCACACAGCGAATGCGCAAGACCTCGTTTCAGTGGCCCCTCAACCCTCCCCTCAGCCCACACGCGCAGCACCTCTGGAGGCCTCCTTCCGGGGTGTCCGCAGGTGGCGCCGCGTCCTCACCCGTCACCCCATCTGGAGCGATTCCGGCTCCTCCCCAAGGTCAGTTACTGTGAGGGGGTGATGTTTGGAACCATTGAGGGCATCCAGGCAGCCGGGAAGGACAGGACGAGTGCGCTCATAGTGAGGGGAGGGTTTGGAGAGAAATTAACGGCGTGTCCGGTCTTAGAATAAAACACCAAATTTAAAAGCATTCACCGTTTTTCAGTCCTGCACAGTACTTCCCACCCCCTCTTCTGAACTGTTCCGTCATCTTGTTAATACCTGCTTGCTTCCACTCCATTTCAAGTTGGTTGTTTGGCTGGTTTTGAGACAGGATCTCACCACGTAGTTGAGGCTGGCCTCAAATTTGCAGCAATCGTCCTGCCTCAGCCTCCTAGGTCTTGGGATTACAGATGTACACACCGTGCCCTGCTCCAAGTTTTAAAAAATATTTCAGCGCTTCCTAATGTTGTCATTATGCAGTACTAAGCTGGTAGGTTAAGTGCTTTACTAACTCATTTAACCCTCACAGCAGCCCTGACTGCACTGCACAGATGAGGAAAATGAGTGTACAGAGGAGACACATTCAAGGCCACAGCAAGCAGCCGCCCCAGGTGCACAGGAAGCTGCTTTGCCGGCCTGTACTCCTTAAAATACACTGGACTCCCCCTGCTGGTAGAGAGTGTGTCTGATTTTTTTTTTCTTTTTGGTGCCAGGCATCAAACTCAGGACCCAAGGCGGGGGACAGAATTTTTTTTGTGTGTGTGTGTCAGTGTTTAACTATGTAGCCCCAAATTAGCCTGGTGATCCTCCTGCCTCAGCCTCCCCAGTGCTGGAATTACAGGCAAGCACCACCACACCAAGCTGTCTCTGATTTCTTTGCTCCCTTACTCCAAGCACACAACTTTGCACACACAAGGCATCAACAGGGAGTTTAATATATACACATGTACACAGTCACACACACGCCAGTGTGGCCAACACCCTCTACTACACTGGGACCCTGGCGACCATGCCGGCCTCATGCGGGCCCGGAGCTCTGCTGCACCCTCTTCATCAGCTCCTCATCCTGCATGGACAGCTCCGTCAGCTTCTTGCCCATGCGCTCGTGGATGTCCAGGTACTTGGAGACGCACCGGTCCAGGCACACCGACTCGCCCTTGGACAGCTCTGCGTCCTTGTAGAGGGGCGGCACACACTTCCGGTGGCAGGCATGGGTCATTCTGGGAGAGGCGGGGCATGGGGGGCATCAGCGGCATTCTGATGTCCCCAAGAGGGTGCCCCAGCCAGCTTGGACAGGAGCACAGGAGAGACAGCGTTACCCAACCCTCACCCCCCTTTTACCGTGGAGGAAAGAAGACCCACCCTGGGCCACACGGCGCCTTCAGAACCTACATTCAAGGATCGTTCTGATTCAGTCACCAAGACAAAGCAACCAACCGCCGGCTCTAGCTGGTAAGAGCAGGTATCTGTTTCCTGTGTGTTGGGCTTGGCTGCATTTAATATCTATGTCTCCAGGAGTTGAGATTTGTTATTGTGTCCCTTTTAATGATGAGGAAGCCAGCTGTCCAAGTGCTGAACCCGCCCAAGGACGTACTGCTGATGGCTGGCGGAAATGGGATTTGCCAATGGACACAGCAAGAGGAGGAGTCAGCCTAGGGTACCGCACGCCTGCTCTGCAGCTGACCAAGCTACGTAGCCTCAATCTCCTCATCTTAAAATGGAACAAACCCACCAGATTACACCGAGGACTAAAAAAGATAACCCTATATACTGGACCCGCCTGCACAACGTGAAACTGAGCGGGGAGCGGGAGGGGGTGGCTGAGGAGTGAAAGGGACCCACGTATGCTATGTGCCTGCTCCACTCCGCCAAGACGAGATCCGTGAGTCTGTATGACTAATGTGCATTAATGAAAGATAATTAAATTATAAAGCCGCGCGACGTGGCATACTGCTGTCATCCCAGCACTCAGGAGGCTGAGGCAAGAAGGTAGCTGTGAGTTCGAGGCCAGCCTGAACTACATAGTGAGACACTGTCTCAAAAAAAAAAAAAAAAAGTGAAATTATAAAGATTCCACACTGTCCCTACTTTAGAAATACCTACTGTACTTCACTGTGTGAATCTCACATATGTATCACTTCTACTCCTGATGAACAAATGCTGTCCACAGCTTGGGGCCATTAAAAATATTGCTGCTGAGGGCCGGGGATTTAGCTCAGTGGTTTTGTGGGGGTTTTTTGTTTTTTTGAGACAGGGTCTCACTATGTAGTTGAGACTGACCTGGAACTCACTGTGTAGCCCAGGCTGGTCTCGAACTCACATCGATCCTCCTGCCTCAGCTAGCTTAGTGGTTCTGATGCCTGCCTCGCAAGCGCAAAGTACCGAGTTCGATCCCCCGTACCAGAAAAAACAAAACAAAAAAATCAACGTACTATTGCTTCTGGGCTGGGGATGGAGCTCCGTGGTGCCGCGCCTGCCTAGCAAGCATTCAAGGTCCTGAGTTGGATCCCACACACCAGAAAAAAAGAATATTGCTATGTTTGAAAAAAAAAGGGGGCCTATGCATATAAAATTCTTGGTAAGTGTCCAACCATGTGTAAAGGTTTACAAAATGTTAACTACTACCCGGCCGAGTGTCAACAGGTAAACGTGGAGCTGTAAGTGGAAACAGCGGAGCCGGGTCAGAGCCGCTGGTGCTGCGCGCTCCTCCACGCCAGTCCATCCCCATCGGTGGCCCCGTACAGCACCCACGTTGGCACCCGTCGGAGTGCGCGGGGAAGGTGGGGCCGCAGGCTCCCTACACGGCGCTGAGTTGGAGCCACCCCTCCGCCCTTGACTGGCGGTGACGGCCGCCCGGCAGCGCTGCTCACCTGTTGTACATGTCGGCCATCATCTCCACCTCCAGCTCGGCCGCCAGCTGCTGGGCCCTGAGCGGGTCCATGGAGCCCAGCACCGCAGGAGACCTAGTGCTGGACAGACACGGCCGTGAGCAGCGCCCTGGCGCCCAGGGGCCGGCGGGTCCGAGGGTCAGGGGGAAACCGCCTCAGTGGGCTCAGCCACCCGCTCACAGGCGTGGAAAGCGGGGCCGGGCCCACTGCCCAGCCCAAGGTCACTCGGGATGTCATGGTGGGGATCGAGCCCCGGGGCCGGGCGCCCCATCCCTCGAGCCCAGCCTTAGCCGGGTGATCGGGACCCGAGCCGACGCCGAAGCCGCGGGCCTGCGCCTCTGGGGCCGGGAATCCGACCACTCTGCACCGAGACGCCCAGAACCCGACTCAAAGGCTGCACCACTGCAATGGCGACGTCATCACAAGTCCCCTTGAGGTCTGAAGCCACGGCTCACTCACCACGGCCTGGAACAGCTCTCAGGGGGCCCAGCGCCGCCAACTTCGGGCAAATACTACTGTACAAACCCACCCGGCGCACGGGTAAAGCACGCCGGAAGCACGTGGGTCACTTCCCGGAGGGAAGTCCCGCCTCCTTTCCGACCCGGAAGGAAACACCCGCAAGGCCGCGCTGGGAAGTCGGCTACCATAGAGAGGGAGCTGAGAGCCGGCAGCAAAGAAAGCCGATTTTAAAAAAGCTAGAGAGGACGCCAGTGTACCATAGAGGCCCGAGGTGGGGGGCAGAGCGCCGCCTCAATCCCTGGGGTTGTCAGGGAGACGCTTGAGCGTGACGGTTTAGGCAGGGGCGTGACGGCCGAGAGAGGCGACCTCATCCCGCCTGGAGAGGGCGCAGGTCAAGCGCGGAGAAAGAGCGGCCAGATCGGCTGCTTTCAGTTTTTGTTACACATTAGAACCGCTTGGGACGCTGACTTTCAGCATCAGGCGTATCAATGCCCTCAGGACTCGAGTTTGCCATATCTGTGCCCCGGTTGTTTTAAGACTGAGGTACAACGTTCGTAAAATATGCAGAACACACAAATCTTAAACTTAATTTTTGAGGTACTGGGAAGTGAACCTAGGGCCTCATTCATGCCAGGAAAGTGTTCTCCTTTCTATTTTGGGGTACCAGGGATCGAACTCAGAACCTTGCGCTTGCCAGGAAGGCGCAGTGCCACTGAGCCACATCTCCGGCCCTAAAATCAATCTCTAAGATAGATGTACATTCATAAAGCAGCCCCACGTCAATTTATGCAATACTTCCTGCACTCCAAAAAGGTTTCTCGCGTTCCTTCCCAGTTAATTCCCCATCCTGTGAAGTTACCACTATTTGACTTCCACCAACAGCTCCTGTGCTTCTGCTTGTGCTTGAAGTTCACTAAATCAAAAGATGCCTTCTCTGTTTGATGCCTGACTTCTTTGGCTCTGAGTACCGTCTGTAGGATTTCACCCATCCTGTTGTGTATATCTGTTGCTTGTCTTTAGTTTTTCTGAGAGGGTCTCACTGAGTAGCTCAGGCTGGTCTTGAACTCTGGGGGGTAGGGTCCTCCTGCCTCAGCCTCCTGAGTTCTGGGATTCAGGTGTGCATCACTACACCTGGCTCTAATTTTTGCTTTTGAAAAAACAGTCACTATATTGTGGAACTGATGGGATTAAGAAACTGCACAGGGAAAGGGAGGGAGGTGTACTTATGAGAGGAATCTCTTACGAGGGGTATTTACTGAGTTATGAAAGGTAGCATACGTACGATTCCATTTAAATAACAATCTCAAAACAACAAAGTCACAGAGATGGCGAAGGGACAAGTGATTGCATGGGTGGAGGAAGGATAACCCAGCCTGTGTGGTGAGTCCGCACACAGGCTAACAAAGCACAGAGCTAGCTGGGAATGAGGGCACACCTGTGATTCCAGCACTCTGGAGGCTGAGGCAGGAGAATCACAAGTTGTAGCCCAACCTGGGCGATTTAGCAACTTAGAAGAATTTATCTGGGTAGGAAAAAAATGCAAAGGGCTGGGGATGTAGCTCAGCATGATGGCTCTCTCTCTCTCTCCCTCTCTCTCTGTCACAGATCTATCTACCCATGCTGTCCCGAGCGCCCTGCTGTGACATCAGATGTGCTGTAGTTCCCCACACCGTACCCCTCCACGAAAGCTGAGTGATAGGTTTCCCAGGACCTCTCTGTGCTGTAATTATTTCAAAATAAAAAGTTTAATAACTCATTACAAAAACGAAAACAATCAAAAAGATAATGGAAGTAAAGCACCACAGTAGATACTCAATAAAAACACCACTGTCCTTTATCTCAGGCTTTCACTGGGGCAGATTCAGAACCTCCGGGAAAATGAAGAGTGTGGCCGGCTGACAGCTGGATCACCCGGACGGAACAACTGCTCACTTCCACCCGACTCGTGGTCTATTTTTATCTCTAACAGGTGGTGTGGTTTTTTTTTCCAAACTACTATTTTCATACCCTCAAAATTATAGTAATTTTTCCCTTTTTTTTTCAATACTGATGGCCAAACCCAGGGCTCACACTTGCTAGGCAAGCAACCCTACCACACACCTCAGCCCCCAGATTCACTTTGCAATGGAACCTAATACAGATTCTGTGATCCCCAACCTGTCCAGAAGGCCTTTGTTTTTTACATTGAAGAATATTTAACATGGGCCGGGGATTTAGCTCAGTGGTTCTGCTGCCTGCCTCCAAAGCACAAGGACCCAAGTTCGATCCCCGGTACCAAAAAAAAAAAAGAATATTTAACATGAGATCTGTCCACTTAGCAAATATACAGGTGCCCAATACAGTATTACTGCCAGGTATGGTGGCACACACCTGCCATCCCAGCACTCAGGAGGCTGAGACAGGAGGATCTCTGTGAGTTCAAGGCCAGCCTGGGCTACATATCAAGACCCTGTCTCAAACCAACAAAATCAAACAAACAATACAGTATTGTTATCTGTAGGTCCCATACTGTACATCAGACCTCTGGAACTCATTCATCCTGGTAACTGAAAGAGTACATACTGAACAGCATCTTACATCCCCCTCCCCTTGGGCCCTAGACTCAAGCATCTTACCGATGACGGATCACCATTATGATTGTTCACTGGGAGACCCCATCTTCTATGCCCAACCTACAGAAAGACTCTCCAACTGTCCTAATGAGTTTTTCATCTGTTTCTGTTTGTGGAGTCTCTCTACGCAGGTCAGGCTGGCTTTGAACTCACTGTCCTCCATGCAGGCTCCTTCCTTGCCTCTGCAAAGCTCACTTGACCTCTCTGTCTAAAGTGGATCCTGTCATACAACACTTGGGAGGCTGAGGCAGGAAGACTGCTGGAGTCTGAGGCCAGCCTGGGCTGCATGGTGAGACCCTGTCTCAAAAAGCCAAACCAACAAACACAAGCCCTGATGAATGAAGAGTCCTGGTCCCTGAGGTGGCGACGGGTGTCAGTGCTGGGCTGGGGACGTTGGTACCCAGACCCACTGTGCACACCGCGGGCCCCTCTCCCAGACCCCAGGCACAGCCCAGCTCCCGCTGTGTTTCTGCGACTGTTCCCTTAGGTACTGAGGTTGATGGGTATTTATGGGGACCTTCGAGGGCAGATAAAGCCCCGCGCCATGTGGAGCTGGGAGTCGGATGAGAAAGACAGCCGTGGAGTCAGGCAGAACACCAGGCTGTGCCGGGAGGGGCTGGGTTTAGAACGAGAAGCAGCCAGGCTGGGCAGACAGCGAGGAAGACGGGCGTGCGGGGCTGACACAGGTCGTTCCAGTACGCTGGGAGCCGGAGGCAGGGGGCTCACAAGTTTGGGCCAGAGGCGAGAGGGGAGCCGGGGTCACAGAGGCACCGGGGCCAGGGGACCGAGTCCTGTCACCCATCACCACACCAGGTCAGGTCGAGCCCAGGGTCCCCGCGTTCCCAGGCGGCTGCCCCCACCGGCTTCTCCGCACTGCTGGCCGGGAGGGGGACCCTGGTGCCAGGCGGCTGAGGGACCGAGGCCATGCAGCATGGAGGGCCGGGGCTCTGGACGGGACGGGCGGGCGGTAGGGCCCTCAACCGGTGGCCCAGTCCCCAGGACAGCAGCTGGGGAGGATGGCAGGGCACGGCATGATTGAACACCACACCTGTCAGCGCCGAAACCCGAGCCGGCCTGGCCCTGGCGGGAGTGTTGAACCAACAGGGTAAGCAATGCTCGCTCCCGGGCCAGACGAGCCACGGCACCTCCGCCTAAAGGAGACAGGGAGCCGCGGGAGGAAGGCGCCGGCTCCCACGCAGGCCGAGCCCAGGTAGGAGACGCCCTTCACCTGTCTCAGCACCCTCCCGGCCAGGTTCCCAGGAGGTCTGTGGACCAGAGGAGCCTGGGCCCCTTTTTTGTCTTTTTTCCTCTGCTAGAGATTGAACCCAGGGCCTCCGCACTGAGCTAGGCTCCCGTCCTTTCTTTCTTTTTCATTTTGAGACAGGGTCTTGCTAAGTTGCTCAATTGCCCAGGCTGGGCTGGAACCTGTGACCTTCCCGCCTCAGCCTCCCAGTGCTTTCTGAGTCTCTCCGTCACTCAGTCAACTTTTCTCAGAGGCCCCGAGCAGCCATGCGGTCACCTTGAGGTCACCTGCAGAGGGACCCAGGGTCTCTGGCTGGGTGTGGGGGCCGCAGGACCCCTGGATGACAGCCGGGGAACCCCGTCCTGTTCAGGGCTTCTCCATCCCGAGGGGACAACTCCAGGAGGATTGGGGGCTTCCTGGGGGGCAGAGGGGACCCCAGGAGGAGGGTGGGTACCCCTTCGGGTGCCCGGGGCATGCTCCGAGTGCACTATCTGTTGGCCCTGCCACCGCCGAACCGGCGCGGGCCGAGGAGCGGGTGGGAGCCCCGGTTTGGGCTCCAGATACTCGAACTGGGCGAGTTGTTTCCCTTCGCATCACGGCCTCAGCTGCAACCCTCTTCCTACACACGCCGGCTTGTCCTTCACAGCCGAGCGGCACCCCAGCAGCACCGCCTTTGCAGGAGGTCAGCGGACGAGCGGCCGCGGCAGTTGGGGCGGGGCGCAGGTAACTGGGAGCTGCCGAAGATGCGGGGTGTGTGGGGCAAGCCCGGCTCCCCGTTTCCGAACTGCTCTCCAGTGGGTCGTCACACTCCGGGGGTGGGGCACACGCCCTTACCCTGCGCTCCCTAGCGGGTGCACAGACGAGAGGGTGGGGCCCTGCTCCCCTCTGGTCTCCCCGGGCTGGGCCGGGGCTGGGCGCGGCGTGAAGTCGGGTGCACTGCATGACCCCCAGCGTACCCCGTCCCCGCAGCGGCCTAGCCTTGCTCCTGAAGCGAAGACACAGGTGGCAGGAAGCAAGCCTGCTCGGACCGCAGAGAAGCCCACAGTAACGCTGTCCCGGTTCTCACTGGCTCCGTGTGACGCCTACGCCGGGAGGGTGCGGCCGGGCTACTCCGGTCTGGGGCAGGAGCCTCCGCCGCCATCCCGCTCCCAGGGGCCTAGGCACTGCCGCCGAGACAACACTGCCAAACACGGCAGTATTTTTAGCCGGTGACAGGAGTATTCCCCTTCCTCTACCTGAGTCATCCTGAGCCCTATTTGGGGTTGTTTTCTTGTAACGAGACCCCCTGAAGGGCAGGAGATGAAGGAGCTGCCCCGGTCCCCCATCTGTTTGTGGGTCCTACAGTAGATACAGTACTTAAATAGGAGTACTTACTACAGTACTGAAACAGGAGTACTTAAACACAGTACTCAGGAGTACTTAATATAGTACTTAGATGGGAGTACTTAATATACTACTGAAATGGGAGTACTTGATCACAGTGCTTAAACACTTCTTAGACAGAAGTACTTAGGAGTACTGAGATACAGCACTTAATAGGACCCCCAAACCAGGGTCCCACTCTCTCCTGAGCCCTGCAGAGCAAGGCAGAGACGCCTGGGTCACCAAAGTAGCCTCTCCCACCCCCAGCTCCCTGGGGCCACAGTCTGGCAGGGCCCCACAGGCGGCTGGCTGGTCCAGGGGATCCCAAGGGCCAGACTTGCCACCCCACCCTGCAATCCCGCCACTTCTACAAGACATTCCTATCTCTACTGTCCTCAGCGCCTTCCTCCGAATTAACTCCTTTTAAAATCCAATAATGTATTCTTAAAAGACACTTTATATCGTGGCTGGAAATGGAAACTCAGTATCACTTGCCAGAAATAGAAAATAGCCGTAAAAATAAATACGCTGGAAACAAAGCGGTGCTGGGCAGTGACGCTGCCTCTCCTGCCTGCTTGGGCGCTGGCCCTGCTACACTGTGACCGCCTCGCCGTGTCATCAGCGAGAGGCGAAAGGCCGTGTGGCTCTGGCAGCTTCGGGCAGCC